ACATAATGAGCTTCTGTCTAGCTCAATAGTTCTGCTTTCTTTTAGTGACTGACACCTATTATTTTATAATATGGACAAACTGTAATTTGCTCAACCATTTATTAATAAGCATTTGTATTATTTATAATCATTTGTTATTAGAAGCAGTATTGTATTGAACATCCTTAGACTTACAGCTCTGTACTCATAGGCAAATATTTTGGTAAAGCAAATTTGTAAGAGTGAAATCATAAGGTGAAAGAATAGGCTTATTTTAAATATTAAAATATTTCATATATTACCCTTCAATAAAGCTTTAATAATATACATTCCCAATGAAATTCTGTGAAAGTTGTTATTTCTAACCATTTCTCAGAACACTAGATAGTATTAACATGCTTTTAATATTGTTGTTGTATGAAAAAGCCTTCATATTTTAATTTACATATCTTCCTTATAACTGAGGTTGGGATTTGCAGTTTCTTTACTACCAAATTTCTGTTCATGTTCTTTGCTTTTTTAAGTTACCATTTTCTAATATGTTCTTTACTTTTTACTTTGCAGAACTCTTCATATTTAAGAACATTTTGGCTACTATAACTTTGATAAATATTTTCTTCCAGTTTATTATTTGTATTTTGGCTTGTTTTTTGCTGCCTTTTGTTTGAAAATTTTGACTTTCTTATAGACAAATATGTAAATTTTATTTCTTTTTGGCTTCTGATTTTTAAGTTATGTTTCAGAAGATCTTTTGTACCATCAAGCTTACAAAAATATCTTCAAATTTTTTTTTGAAAATATTGTCTTATGTACATTTAGACCACTAATTTACTTGAAATTTATTTTGAATATAATGTAAAGAGGGTCTCTAACTTTATGTATTAACAAATAGATAATCATATGCATCTAAAACATTTATTATCTTTTGCACTCTAAAGTAGAATGTTGTGTTTATCGTATACTGAGTTCTAATACATACTCGAATCTATTTTTAATCTTTGTTTCACTGATATACTCTTTTACCATACTAGTTTAGTTAAGATAGCATTTAAGTAAGATTTAATATCTGAATAGATAAAACCTTCTTATTAGCCAACTTTTACAGAATATCTCTGCAATTACCAGACAGTTATTCTTCTAATGAATTTTAGAATGATTTTCTCCAACTTTTTCTGCAATTCTAATTAAAATTGTACTAACTTTATATATTAAATTGGGATGACAGGCATTTTAATTATATTAAGTAATCCTATATAAGAACATGATATATGTTGACATCTTTTGTGTGTTTCAAAAAAGTTGTATCATTTATTTAGAAGAACTAAATTTCCCAAATTGTATCAAAGTGGTTTGGTCTAAATTACAACCCCCATTAGCATCTGTTAATATATAAAACTGCACTTGGCTATTTTGTCTAACATTTCATCCAGGAAAGCCAGATTCCAACAACACTTCTCTGTGGTAACAGTTCTGGTCAGAGCCTGAGGCCAAATGTCAACAGTATTGCACATTCTGAATTGAAGCATCAATATGAAGAAATTTGTTTGTTGTCCTCTGTGTTAAATAAATTTGCTAGCATTCCCCATGTACTCAAATATATACAAATGCAGTGCCATCATGGTATGATGAGTGTATGTATCTGTGTTCTTGTGAGACATAATGGAAAATTTATCTACAATTATAGAATACATTTAATTTAAAAGTGCTTCTCGGTGGTCATTCATTCACAACTAAACATGGATCTAATCTGCCTGAGAAAGAATAACATTTAATGTTGCACATACATAAATATAGTAGTGATTTTTAAAATAATAAATTAATAGAGATGAATGAGGATTATTTTGCCAATCAGTGGAATATTTTACTATCTAATTTTTCTTATTTATCTACTTCCTGATGTATGACTTGTTTTGACAGAATTCACTTCCCTCTTAGAAGGAATAACTTTAGTCCCTCTGCAGACATTTTGAGAAACCTGAATTTATGTCACCTGAGAGACCTGAAAATACATTAGGAAAGCCTAAAACAAAACTTGGAAAAAGGTATTTGCAGAAAGGACAGAATTCCAAGGGGAGTAGGTTCATGAAACTTAAGCCAGTATGGAGAGGGTTATAATAGGAATAGAGACAACAGAGCACTTACAAATGTCTTAGATGATTTTCTGTCTGCTAACAAGCAGTATTATTTTTTTCTGCACGTTTAAAGGAAGATGATGGCTATATAGACAACATGCAATGAAGAGTCAAGGCAATTATTCATTTCGTTTGGGCTTCAGGAATGTGCTGCAGAGGGAAAAAGTTGCTTTGGGGGCCTGCATTTATGCAAATCTCTAGTCTTTGCTGATTGAATTCTGAGGAAAAAAGTTACACAGTTTTCTACTTGGTCTGTGTTTTAATTGTTACTCTAGCAGTAATTAGATACAAAAACAGTTTTGCTGCCGTTTACCTTGAGGTTGTTTAACAAAGGTTGTCATGTTTAAAATATTTTAAAGAAATAAAATGTGCGTCAGATACATTTCCCACCCTATAACTAGCTCCTGGTTCTTGGGTTGCTTGGCCTAGTTTCTAATGCTGAGGAAGAGCTTCATCACTGTAATCCTGCATTTCATTTTATAAATGCCTTAACTTTGTGTGTCTACTTTTCAATAACTGTTTCATATTTGATCTTCCCATCAACCCCCTGAAATTAATGGGGACAGTTTAATTATCATCCACTTTTAAATGCAGAAACAAAGACATGGTAAGATCCAGAATCTTAGAACAGTGTATATATACATATTTTGTCACCTCAGGATTTGACAAATTCTTGGGTTATCTTAATTTAACGAAAACAGTGTGATAGCCAAAAGGGTATGAGTGTTGATACCTTAATCTTGGCTTTATTATATTACCAAACTCCATAAACTTCAATTTTATGTTTGTAAAGTGGGCATAATAATTCTTAACATGCAAGAGTTTAGTGAGGATATGAAATAATATAAATGAAGCACTTAGCAATCTATATGTTGATGCTAAGTTTCCAGTGTTTTTAAATATATCTCTATCCTATATATTATATAGAACATCCTCTGATATATAGAATAGAGATAGTATATAGATATATAGGTACAGTATACCTTTATTACATAGTTTTGTAATTGATTTTTCTCTTTTCTGCTGAAATCTTCTGTGAGTTTCTTGAGAGTGGAAAACTATATTCTGTCTGTGTATTTATTTAATCTCTCTATTATCTTGTGCTTTAAATATTTATATTAATGAATTCAAAATGGGTCAAAATCTTAATACAAGAAGATAAGTAGACAAAGTTATTAGTTTTTTGGCATTTTGCAATTGTGCACCAAAATGGCTTGTTTTTGTTTCCCTGGATAGATTCTGTTACACAAATTTTAAGTTGGTAATAACTGTTACTTAGGTCTAAAATAAGAAAATGTTAGGGGTTGCAAATCGAATTTTACATTTTGCTTTCCCATTTCACTTTACTCTGACAATAATAATCCACATTGAAACTGTAAGAAAAAGCCTAAGGACATACATAAATCTGAGAGCTCCAGTTTTACTGTTTTTTATTTTTAACTCATTCTAAGATTTTTAAGGACTAATACAAATAAAGCATCCTTCTTGTTTTTAGAATCTTCCAGGCTTATATTAAGCCTTCAAATTTACTGATAAGTGAGAGAAAAAAATTCCTAACTTTTCATTTTTTTTAGTATCGACGTTGTTTAGCTCTGCTTCTTGGTTTTCTTTAAATTTGACACCTATGTGTTTAATGACAATTATATAACTCTAAGAGTACTACGTTCATTATTAAGTGGAATCAATCCTTGCAAGTCTTATAAGTTGGGCAAGAGATTTTTCCCTTGGAGGATATGTCATTAAGGTTTTATATTCTCAGATGCAATGAATGTTGCTAATACTTGCATTTGGGAAAAAATAAGTAATAAGGTAAATGGTATGCATTGCACCTGGTTCTTATGGATGGATTAAAGTATTGGTTGGAAAAATAGCTTTTAAGTTTCAACTTGTTCGGGTACATATCAAGTTTTCCTCCAAGGTAGTGAATATTAATAATGAGGAGGAAGAAAAGAGAATTACAACAATGATGACAATGACATAAGCAATACTTCTGAAAACATTGTTATCAAAGATATTTTCAATTCTTATTTTACAGACAAAGAAAATGTGGCTCAAAGCAGTTGAGTAACTTATCTATAACTAGTACACAGTATAGCTTGCATCCAAACCCTAGTCTTTGCTTTTGTGACAAAGCATCCTCCTTATGTTTTATAGTTCCTAGTTTATGTTTGTAGGTAATCCAGAGTAACATATATATATATATATATTTCCTTTACCATTTTAAAATAGTTTCTTTGTATTTGTGGTTATATTCTTTTCCTTAGTCCCAACGTATATATTATTTTTGTCTTCATTAGATCTGTGAGAAGTTCATCTATTTCATTGTCTATTTTAAGAACCAAGAGTTCTATTTCTTACTAGTTTTTGTGCTGTAATTATTTTCTGATTTTCTTTTTACTGTTTAATTTTCTATTTTATTTTTATTTTTATTGCATTTTTTCTAATATCTTCATATATAGACTCACCTTATTTTTATTCTTTCAGAAATAACCATAGTGCTTTAAGTCTAGTAATTAGTCTCTGAATATGTTTGAAAGTGTCCCATAAATGTAACATATTACATTCTTATTTTATGACTAAGTGGTCGATTTTATTTCCTTTTTATGCAATTTTTGAAAGGCTAGGATGTATTTAGTTTTATTCCAACACATTAGTTTTAGGCTAGTTTTTAGTTTCTAGCTTTAAATCACTGTGGTCAGAGAATTTTGCCTTTAATATATACCTACTTTTTGTGACATAATAAATGATAAAATTTTGTATAGTTCCATGATGTGTTAAAAGAAGGCATATTTTCTTTTTGTGAAGAGAAAAAGACTGAGCAGTTGTGGCCGCAATACCCACCTAGAGCAGCAGTCGGGTTCTCCATCTAGAACCCAGGAGTATGAGACTCAGAATCAGATCTCTTCTCCCTCCCCACTCCTATGAGATTTTTTTGGATCTTCAGCTACATTTTCGGCTTTCTGAGAAACCCTATCATCAAACACAATGGCCAGCAACGTTACCAACAAGACAGATCCTCGTTCCATGAACACCCGTGTATTCACTGGGAATCTCAACACTCTTGTGGTCAAGAAATCTGATGTGGAGGCAATCTTTCCGAAGTATGGCAAAATTGTGGGCTGCTCTGTTCATAAGGGCTTTGCTTCATTCAATATGTTAATGAGAGAAATGCCCAGGCTGCTGTAGCAGGAGAGGATGGCAGAATGATTGCTGGTCAGGTTTTAGGTATTAACCTGACTGCAGCACCAAAACTGAACGGAGGAAAAGCAGACGTGAAACAATCTGCAGCGATGTACCGCTCTTCTTTTGACCTGGACTATGATTTTCAGCGGGATTATTGTAATAGGAGGTACAGTTACCCAGCATGTGTACCTCCTCCTCCTCCTATTGCTGGAGGTGTAGTGCCCTCGAAACATCCGTGTGTATCAGGAAACACCTCAAGAAGGGAAAAAAGTGGCTTCAATTTTAAGAGTGGACAGCGGGTATCTTCCAAGTCTGGAAAGTTGAAAGGAGATGACCTTCAGGCGGTTAAGAAGGAATTGACCCAGATAAAACAAAAAATGGATTATCTCCTGGAAAACCTGGAAAAAATTGAAAGGGAACAGAGCAAACAAGCAGTAGAGATGAAAAATAAGTCAGAAGAGGAGCAGAGCAGCAGCTCCTTGAAGAAAGATGAGACTAATTTGAAGTTGGAGTCTGAGGGGGGTGCAAATAACCCTGCTGAGGAGGGGGACCTACTGGATGATGATGATAATGAAGACTTGGGGGATGACCAGCTGGAGTTGATCAAGGATGAAGAAAAAGAGGCCGAGGAAGGAGAGGATGACGGAGACAGCGCCAATGGTGAGGATGACTCTGAAGCACATAGTGAGGTTTAGAAATTTTATTCCATTATTTCTTTACCTAGGCACTTGTCTGAGATCAAATTTTTCACCAGATCCTCTTGAGAGCTGACAGCGTGCTGGCAGCCCTCGCTCACTCTTGGTGCCTCCTCCGCCTTGGCGTCCCCTCTGGCCTCGCTTGAGGAGCCTTCAGCCCGCTGCTGCACTGTGGGAGCTCCTGTCTGGGCTGCCCGAGGCAGAGCCGGCTGCCTCTGCCTGCTGGGAGGTGTGGAGGCAGAGGCATGGGCGGGAACTGGGGCTGCCGGCTGCACTAGCTGGCCAGTGTGAGTGAGTTCGGGTGGGCGTGGACTTGGCGGGCCCTGCACTCAGAGCAGCGGTGGGCACCGCTGGCCCCGGGAAGTGAGGGGCTTAGCACCTGGGCCAGCAGCTGCCTAGGGTGCACCGGGTCCCCCAGCACTACTGGCCTGCCGGCACCACACTCAAATTCTCACTGGGCCTCAGTTGCCTCCCCATGGGGCTGGCCTCAGGACCTGCAGCCAGCCATGCCTGAGGCTCCTGAGTCAGGTGGGGACTTGGAGAACTTTTGTATCTAGCTGGAGGATTGTATATGCACCAATCAGCACTCTGTGTCTAGCTCCGGGTTTATGGATGCACCAATCAGCACTGTGTATCTAGCTAATCTGGTGGGGACTCCTACAGCGTTTATGTCTAGCTGGAGGATTATAAATGTACCAATCAGCACTTTGTGTCTAGCTGGAGGATTGTGAAGGTACTAATGAGCACCCTGTGTCTAGCTCAAGGTTTGTGAAAGTACTAATCAGTGCTCTGTGTCTAGCTAATCTAGTGGGGACTTGCAGAACTTTTGTGTCTAGCGGCACTCTGTGTCTGGCACAGGGATTGTAAACGCACCAATCAGCACCCTGTCAAAACAGACCAATCAGCTCTCTGTAAAATGGACCAATCAGCGATGTGTAAAATGGATCAATCAGCAGGATGTGGGTGGGGTGAGATAAGGGCATAAAAGCAGACTGCCTGAACCAGTGGTGGCAACCCGCTTGGGTTCCCTTCCACGCTGTGGAAACCTTGTTCTTTCACTCCTTGCACTAAATCTTGCTGCTGCTCACTCTTTGGGTCCATGCCGACTGTATGAGCTGTAACCCTCATGGCAAAGGTCTGCAGCTTCAATCCCGAAGCCAGCGAGATCACAAACCCACTGGGAGGTATGAACAACTCCAGACTCACCGCCTTAAGAGCTGTAACATTCACCGTGAAGGTCTGCAGCTTCACTCCTGAAGTCAGCAAGACCAGGAGCCCACCAGAAGGAAGAAACTCCAGACACGTCTGAACAGCTGAAGGAGCAAACTCCACACACACCATCTTTAAGAAGTGTAACACTCACCACGAGGGTTCGCGGCTTCATTCTTGAAGTCACCAAGACCAAGAACCCACCAATTCCGGACACACACTCTCCTAGTATCTTCAGCACATGCTCACTGTTCTCCTCATCCTTGTCCTTCCCATGTTCATTAATTCTTATTGCCCTGCGCCTAGTCCCATTTTCACTTCCTTTGATTCTCCTACTAGTTTTAAGAATGTAATTTTTGCTTTTAATTTTGATACATCTTTATGACTTAACAATAAAAAGTATGTATAGTTTTCATCAACTGTCTCCAGAATAATCTCTTGTTATGTAGGGAGTACAGTTCTTTTCATTCATACATAAGTTCAGTAGCTGCTTCCCTAACTGCAAAGGCAATCTCATTTAGTTGAGTAGCTCCTGAAAGCAGCTTTGAGTTACAAGTATGTGTGTTACACCCCCACATAAGTGTGATGTGTGGGGAGGTTCAACACAAATGTAACAATGTATTTTTGTGAATGAGAGTTGGCATGTCAAATGCATCCTCTAGAAAAATAGTGTTACAGTCTTAATATTTGTTTTCTAAAGTTGAAACTGTGGGTCATTTTTGTGAACAGCTTGATATTTGGGACCTCTTTTCCTCAAAATAAAAAGTCCTTATTAAACCAGGAATTTGGAGGAAAAAAAAAAGGTATATTTTCTATGGAATAAAAGTTTTCATTCATGTTTATAACATCTGCCTTATTAATTGTATTATTACAGCCTTTACATCTTAATTGTACTTAGGTGAGACATCAGAACATCAATATTAAAGTCCTTCCCAAAACTGAGATTTTGTGGGACAAGAGAGTGTGAGGTAGAGGTATGAGAAAGGGATATCTCTGTTCTAATCTGAAAGAACTTTCCCATGTGAGATCCATGGCTACTATGCTGCTTTACTTAGAGGCAAAGATCCCATGAATCTTTGATAGGGATACAGAGTAGAAGTCAACATATGTGTCTTTCCACTAGCTTTCTAACTGATTTTATTTAGTTTTAAAAATCAAAAAATATGTCACATAGAGACAGTTAATTCATCCCTACCACAATAGAACTAAAAAGGGGTTTTTTCCCCCCTTCCAGGTACTTGTAAAATGTTGACTACAATTATCAGTGATTTTGCATATTTGTTTCTCCTTGTTAGTTTCATGACTCTTTTAATTGATAAGTGAGGAAGAATCCTAACTAGCTGTCTTCCTACCCTAAAAGAAAGCTGATTATGTTCTTTCAATTTTATTATACTTTTGCTCATTAATGTGCTGGTTTATATTCAAGAATATGGAAGTTCCATATTAAATAAGTGAACATGTGTTGTTGGTTTCTATTTGCTTTCTATTTGATTTGATTTCTATTTTGCTTATCCTGTGCCAATCATCATTATAAGAAGTTAAAATTGTGATTAATCATCTGCATCTCTAAAAGTGTATCTCACACATTTTCCAGAAACATTTTTATCATTAGTTCATAGGAATGTCAATTTTCCAAGAGAAATAAAGGCCCTGTGTTCCTTATGTGGTTATTATTCTTCACTTTAGGAGATAACTGAGAAAGCTTTGCACTCCAAGGTGTCTTGGACATCTTTTGGTCAGTTTTCGCTAGTGAATAGATGATGGTGATGACCCTAGAAGAGAGAGAAGGAAGGGTAATTGGGTCAAATGTGTTCTTCAAGGGCAAGTGTTTGTTTGCATCCTATATGGTGAGGGTGGAGGTTGTGTATTAACTGATATCTCCAGTAGCTTGTCTTCTTCCATTTACCACAATATTGTGGTGACTTGATTAGTTTTCTCAGACTGGAGTAGTAAAATTAATCCCTTATATCTGAAGCAACAACTTCATATAATTATTAAGAGTATAATAATATATTAACAGTATAATAACATTAAGAGTATAATAACATAATAATTAAGAGTAATTCCGGTTAGTGACAGCATAAAGTTGGAAGCCTCTAGAAATGATCCTGCTATGCGCTCTTTGCTAAGAATGCTGGGTGACAGAGTTTTAAGGAGAGTGTGCCTAAAGATGAGTCAATTAGTTTAGGATTAGACATTTAAAATTTAACTTTGACAGATAGAAGCTCATCATTAATTTTAATATGAGCAAATTTCAACAAAGTAGTAGGGCAAAAATCAGGTTACAGGAAAAAAGAAATGAAAAAAAAGTGGATAAAGAGAATATGACATACTCCCTGGACAAGTTTTATGAGAAAAGCTAGAGAGAAATTGGTATACACCTGGAGAGAGTTGGAGCAAAACAAAGCAAAAAACTAAAACACCCTAAACTAACATTTTTAGACTAGAACATAGTTGACCATATTTTCAGGCTGAAGGAAAAGATTTAGGAAAGAGGAGGATGTCAAGGATATAAATCAGAGATCAGGAAACTTTTCCAGTAAAGGACTAGATAGTAAATATTTTAGGTTTTGAGGACCATAAGATATCTGTAGCAACTACCCAACTACTCAACTCTGTCCTTGTAGCATTGAAGCAGCCATAGAAAATATATGAACAAATGGGCATGGCTGTTTTTGATAAGAATTTATTTATGATAACATGTAGCAAGCCAGATTTGACCCACAGGTTTGCGAACCTCTGCTATAGATGGGAGAGCAGAACTGAAGAGAGTAGGAAAACGGCATAGGGTGAGGATGGCTGTGACTGTGGGTTTGCTTTCTAGGTCTGGCTGTGGTATAACTGTGCAGGGAGAACACACCTAATGAACTCAATTTTATTAGAAGACTGAGGGCTATCTAACCTGTCAAAATGAGGAGCTAAAGGCAACTAAGGACTTGGAGGCAGATGGTGATGATTGAGAAGTTTTTTGAGGGAAATGAGAGGGGAAGTTGATTAAAGGACAGTGACTAGCTGAGTGTGGAAACTGACTACTTAGAAGTTGCTCTTAGTGTGTGTGAGTTCCTTTCCCACAGAGCTTCATTCCCTAGGTGTGAGTTGAGAGAGACCAGATGCAGTATTTATCTGGGATTTGGATTTGGATTTTGCTGAAGAGTTGCACCTGAAGAATTGTACTATAAGAAATCAAACACATTGGTGAGCAGATAGTTCAAATGAACAGTCATTAGTTTCAAGCTGGCTAAAGAACAAGATGAAAAGGGACCAGTAAACTGAGAAAAAATAAAAAAATTAAAGTGGTGGATAGCTCTGTGAGGTTAAAGGATAGGAGTTGAAAAAGGAGTGAAGAACTATTAAGATAGGAGATTGAGGTCAAATAGTATAGTAATTTAGTAAATATTCAGGATGCATTTTTGATGGATTGCTATCCTGAGTAAAGTTTACTACCTGAGGCTTATAATAACATAGGTGCAAAATTAAAACATACACACAATTTATTTTCTCAACTGTTAGAGTTTTGATTATTAAAACATCAGTGACAATATTATTATATGAAATTACCCTTAGTTAATTTCAGTAAGAACAGCATGGGGATTTGACAATGACATTTTTATCTATAGTTTTTAAACATTTCTATTTTAACCTTTTTAAATTTTGAAAAATTACTTCATTTGTAATAAAACTAGTTTTCAAAATATTGACTTTTTTTTTTTTTTTTTGTAGTAGTCATTATGTTGTTTGGGTGCTGCTCCCAATTCATAAATCTAGTTCATTTCATAGAATCAGAGATAACATTGATTTCCATTCTGTAATTTCTATGAGATAAGTTACCATAAAGTATTATAGGAGTTTGA